TTTTCATATTTCCGATCTTTTCCCATTTTTTCTCACTGTCTGAACTGTTCTGAGGTCAAATCAAAATGTTCTAGCTTTGGCACAGCTTGATCAAGTGCTTCTCTTTCCATTGTAGATGGAATTCTGCTACGACAACATGTGTTCTGTCGATATTGCCTTATTCTCCATCCATCTCAAGTTTAATCTGACCTATTACCAGCAGTCTCATCTTAGAATCGCCCTGTTCGTTCTCTTTGTCTCGATCCAATCTTCCAATACCTGCTCAAGCGTATATGGCACCTTTCTATCGCTGATTCCTTCTAAGAGATATCCGTAGAAGATTTCCAAGAGTTGTTCCCAATGTGCTCGTCGGTGTTTTCCGCTTAGGCATGTGACAAATAAACGCACGAGATCTGTTCCAGCGCATCCAAAGTGAGCTGCCTGAATAGATAATTGACAGATTTACATTGTCACAAGTCTCATCGAAGGAATGTTGACAGTTGGAAGCTTCATAGCTCAGGCATCTCTGTGACTACCAATACGGCTCGATAAGACATTGCTGCGCACTGCGATCTGGGCACCTTTCATACATCCGAAATTCAGTGACCTCATCTGAGGTCCAAGCAAGTTCCCTCTGTGATCGTTATTGTCTCACCGAAACATGAAGAGTAATGTACTCAGATATGTAAATAAGCTCATTGCCCTCAAAAAATTCCAACGTCATGTTCGATTCTATCTTCAAGATCTCTTAATATATTGGGAGCCAGAAGCTCTGAATCTAGAAAGTCAACCCCATGGGAAGCTTATTCATTTCAAACCATACCTGATAATCTATAAGAGCAGCAAGAGAGAGCCCGTTCTCTTCCAACCTCTAAAGAGTATTCATGGACCATAAATCTCCATGACACAAAACTCTATCCATTCCTTCGAAAATTCATATTACATGTGCTATGAAGATAATCTATTGAGAAAACGATAACGAGGGAAATCGGATACAGAACTGGTAAAGTGGGTAGGCTGGAAGAGTTTAAATTTAGCTTCATTAATAATACTTCCACGTTGATTACAATTTCAACAAATACAGTATAGAACTAAGCGTCATCGTTCCCAGTGGTAAGTTATTGAAGGCGAGGCAGGCAAAGTTAACTACTGACGGTAGAAAAGAGAGATACTTCGGTGACGGCCAATGTGCGAAAAGGATGAGCAAAATATTGTGTTTGTATTTAATCTCACGTGTTGTAAATACCATTCTCAACAACTTGTTCTCCTTCTAAAGCACCTGCTGTCCATTGTCGCAGAGTGCTTTCGGAACATATCAGCAACGAGAGCCACTGATCTCTTCACTAAAGGTTCTCTTCAATGAGTGATTAATTCATTTGATGCACACTTAGGTTCGCCAACTACAACTCCATGATCACATTATTAAGTCAACTAATTGCAGTTAAATAAAGGTAAAGCACGGTTCAAAACAAAAGGTAGGAAGATCTCCAGTCGGGTGTGTAGAAAAAAATAAACCAAAGTAGAAGCGCATCAAAGGGAGGTCAGCTGGGTACTAAGAAATGTATGATGGTTAAGTAGTAACCACATTTGATTGCGGTGGGCGGATGTCCTTAGGGATGAAGTCACTCCTAGGCAAACATTAGCATACCTGTGAAATCGAAAACTGCGTTTTCGGCCAACCCGCCATCGCGACTATCATAGTCTAAGAAGAATCATCCGGTTGTTAATTGAGAAAGTGCTTTGAAATGAGAAAATACAGTTCTAGTGTGGGAGACTCATGACTAATCCTTAGAATCCTTCCCACCTGGGATTTACTATAGAATTATCACGTACAAATAAATTAGATTCTAGCAAAATAAAGAAACAAACAAAGCGAGTTATGACGCAAGAAAAAAGAATCGTAGGTATAGCAGCAAGCCCTTTACTTCACCATGAATCAAGCAGCTTTGAAGATCGTTGTCAAAAGCGTCAGCAATAAGAAGCTGCTTGCAAAATGCTCAGTGGCTACTTTTCCACAAGTTCCAGAAGAGTCTTCAGAAACCTTGTATTCCAAGACGTGAAGGTCGACCTTTTTCAACCTCTTCTTGGAAAGGTTGCTATTCTGCGCAGCGTGGAGTTGCCATCTACCCCATGGAAAAGTACATAGAAAGTCAGAAACTTTACAATGCTGTTTTCTCATGAGTTTAGTACTTTGTAGAGAGAGCTTGTAAGCGCGTTCTCAACAAGGTCTAGAGATTCAGTAGTCGCTTGGCTTCAGCTTCGGCTCACTCTTCAATGCCTAGAAGAGAACACACCACCGATAAAAATGAGCCCACAGAGGATCGTTTTGAGTTTGAATCGATGCAGACGCTTCCTGTAACAGGGCATACCATTCGGGTAATCTGGATTCGGATAGCATTGTTACATCATAATTCTCGTGAATCATTGCTGGACCTTCTCTATTTTCACTTAGAGCTCCTTTGTGTACCGTGATGACTGGATTATATATACAATGTGAAGTACAGATGTTTTTGACAAGTTCACAGGTATTCTCAGGCGTTGACCATCATGCTATCAAAGGACTGGGTTAGGGCTTGATAAATACAGCAATGAGTGCTTCTCTTATAAACGGCGTATATTTTCATATCGTCGACATATATGCAAACCTTCACGGCTGGATGTGTAGTCAAGCGACTATTGAATCATAAGCATATATCAGGAACAAAAGGAGTGACAAAACGCCACCTTGCAGCACACGTATGGTGCTTGGGTGTCACCTCGAGAATGAATTTTCGACTCTCACTAAGATGTGTCCAAGGCTCAGCTAACACAGTACCCACTGCAGTGACACCTAGCTCTCGAAACTTGGAAAGAAGCTTATCGTGGCTAACACTATCAAATGTTTCTGGTAAGTCAAGATGGATCACGTATACATCTTCATCTTTTTAATAGTCGAATTCCACCCGAATGTACAGTCAGCCATCGGCGTGCACTTGGGGTCACCCATCTCGAAACCACGTCGCTTAAAATCCGAGAGTTAAAGGAGGGTTTCGATACTTGGACAATAGTAGTGTTGGTAGTCAGTGAATAGGGATGCTTTTTTGATCCATACAACAACATCGCAACCAGAATTTCACCATTTACAAGAAATTCATTGCCAATTTGAAAAGAGGAGTCTGGCAGGACGATACCATTCCGCCTAAACTTTTCAGTGCCGCAATCAAAGACATCATGCGTCACTCGGCCTGGAAATTCATTCCAATAAAAGCTGACGATTGCTACTCACATTATTTTCGCTTTACAGACTACTTTGTGCCTATGACACCAAACACATAGCAGGCGAAACGAATGCTGACCGAATTTGGCAACGCTTGTGGGAAGATTACGACTTACGGTTTACGACCGAACTTAACGAAGAGGTTGTTTATAAGAAACGGATCGGTACCTGAAGCTCGTTCCACGCCTGATTGAACGAATAACTCCAAATACACAAGCCAAGTGTGTCTAGGTCGAGAAGTCAATATGATGAATTCTACAATTCGCTAGACTACTTCGGCTTGCGGTTCAGCGAATGATGCTATTACTGACGCCAGCTCGAGCAAATGAGTGACCAAAGAGACAGGGTGTGTGTGTGTGCTTAAGCTACTGCAATGCCGACCTCTAGAGGCTAGGCACGAATTTATGAGGCGGATACTACAGTAATCTAACTTGGACCACGACATTTGATTACAATGCTCGAAGTTCTCAAAGTTGCTAAAACAAATATTTACAGTTCCTCAAAGTGGTTAGAAGACTGACAATACATAGCTCACCACACTCTTCCGAAAGTGAATCCACTCTTGATAAGTCACTCAACTCTGAGACAATCTTCTCCAAACGAAAAGCTTTTTCTCTGAATTTGCCACTTTCGAAGTTTCGGAATGCGGCCATTACCGATTCTACTGCCTAGACAGTTCGCATGGTTAAATATAGAGACGAGCAAAAATATAAGAGAGCTGAATGGAGGGTCAACAACCACAGGACTGGAGTGAGCAGTTGAATGACATGGTTTCTCACCTCTCTTGAGAGGAATTCTGCATAAAATCCTTCGAAAGAAGATTCTGTGAACTGCTTTTTTTCCTCCAATGTGAAATTTAGCGAGGTCGCTTCGAGAACGGCTTTGTTGCGGAGAATCTTGAATGTATAAACCTACGAATGGCGAAAGATGAGCGGAAAAGTTCCGATGTTGCAGTTAAAGAACATTCATGATTAATCTACCAAACTACGTAAATAACCTCCGACCTAATAAAGTCAGTATGTCACATACCTGTTCCACTTCAGCCGGTGTAAGTATTTCATAAAAATGTACTGAGACTATGTTTTCAATATGCTCCATGATTATATATCCTTTAAGTGGATTGCAATCGGTAAACTTCTTCATGTAATAAATCTAGAAAAGCGAATTGTTTCGTGTATTGCAGAAGTTCGACCAAATGTTGACCAATAATCGGTTACTAGTGTTCCTAGCGAATAGGCCGATGATAATTTCAATCGCTTTTTCTCTTAATGAGCTTGGTAAAAGATGATATTACGAATCGAGTGTTGTCCAATCATTGATGGGGAAGCCGCGAAAGCTCACGTGCTGTTAATATGTTTATACGAAACTTCTAACGCTTTAGGCATTTGTCGAAGTACTTTCTAGCCAACGTAATACAAGTGTGTAACCATTACAATCTGAATGACTGAACAGCCAACCTTTAAAATGTCCATTTTCCCATCAGGAAGCTTGAGCAGATGATTGTAGACTGATACTTCCGCATTGTGACTCTAAAACAGACTACGCCTCCGGGATTATCCTACCCTTTCATATAACAGTAGCTGCGAGCAGAGTTGAAGCCTACGCTAGTCCTATCAACCATGTGAGCGAAATGTCCCTCTGATAAACGCTCAGGGCGGAATAGCACGCTAAAAGGTTTTGTTCGAAGTGTTACTTTCCCCTTCGTCATCGGTCAATTCAGAAGTGTTATCGATCTGTAGAAGTAGACAGTATTTTTTGTTTGATGTTAGCGACTGTTTTTATTGCTCATATGACCACCGCGGCGATTGTAAGTAGTGACCAACCAAAAGCTATCGAAATCGACAGCTTGCAAGTCAATAAAAATGAAAAGGTACAAGCCTGCCTTTTTTTGACGTTTTTCCATGCTAGTCATAAACTCGGGAATGTTGAATACGTTCTTTACATTCTTGTGCTCTGTGACCTCTGCTGAAAGTTTCTGCAGGGCAAGTTGGGTTATAATCTGAAATCTTGTCAGTGATATACGGTAAAACGGAAATGATATCATGAGGTACCGACTGGCAAGTTGCCACAACGCCGATTGTGGAGCATTTACTTCGAATCCATGCTAAATTACTGCGTCAGTAAATGTAGAAGAGTGGAGCTGCTCCCATGTTATGACTTGTCAAGGAGCTGTACGTGTTGGTACTGAGGAGGAGCTGCTGTTGAATAATGGCCTGACCAGAAAGGTCTGCGACAAAAAATTCGAAGCGTGAAAAATTTGTATAAGCAATGTGAAGCGATGGTCAGGGTGATGTACTTATAGGCCATTTCCCGGGAAATCAATACATGAGTAAATGAAGGCACGCATAAGGACTTCCGCAGCATTACCGCCAACGAATGGACAACACCAAATTTTGAACATCATCTCTTTAATAGGCAGCCAAGGGAGAAACGCGGGTGTAACGGATCGGATATCGTGAACCTATTCGGTGCTAACACTAATCACTGATCAACGGTCAACAATCAGCTTTATCGCTACACGGCAAGAGATACTATCCCTCGAAGTAACGCAAGTAGCGTTGCCATAGTTTCGTGTGGCGTGAAGGGACCCATTCACTACTATTTGCTTAACGTAGACTAAGTGTCACAGCTATCGCTTACCCTTAGCATTCGGCTAACACGGTTGGAGAAAGACGTCCCAAACCATAATTCAGCCCCCTACTACAGAAGCACAACGCACGTCGAAGTTTCGCTAAAGACGCTTATCAAGTGTTCACCGGCTCAGTTCGTTCCAACTGTTCATCAGTAATACTCCCAGAATATTGTTTCTTTCGATTACCACGTGCTCAGCCTTTTCGAGCATCCCATTGTTGGGAAAAAAATTAGTGACTCAATGTGATCTGAAGAGTGCTGCCAATTACTTCTTTGAGTCACAGCTTCCTGACTTCTGGACAATTATCATCACTGGTCTGCTCAGAGGATAAGAGACGTTTGTCGGTCTCTTTCGTGAATATACTTCAATAACTGAATTGCGGAAAAGTTTTAGAAGTTAATTCAAAAAGGCCTCCATTTCGTCGCAGAACTTTTTGGCCAGTTAGTGAGCTTGGGAATTATCATTAGTTTAGTGTTTCAAAACAAACCTTGACTACAAATTTTTCTGGTACTTCTTTGTCTCGGTGTCGCCAATCAGGTTCAATGAGCAAGACTTTCGACATGAATCCCTGAAACATAAGAAGTTGCAAGGATCTGACACATCGGAAAAACTGTCACAAAAAAACCTCCTTCAACTGACTTTTATTGACTCTCGGAATATATTCTTATCTACAGCTAAGGCAAATTCCCCATAGTGAAAGTCAGAACTGTAGAGGGCCAATTCTCGATAAAGATTTTTTTGACCCAAGCTACGGCTTCAGTCAATGACATAGCCTCCGCCGCTGTGTTTTTATCGAAGAGCTCCGAGCATCTCAATGCGAATTTTTGGATCTTCATTTTTTTGACAGTGGAATTAACTGTGTTTGGCGAGATTGCGACCTTTGCTGTAATGTCCTCATTGCTTCTACCCGTACGTGTCACTTTTGCTATCGAATCAACGAATAACTGGATTGTGGTAGGGCGAGCATGGCGCATAGGGTGGATATTCTCAATTGGGGTTTCAGGCGTCCCAAGAGCTACAGTGAAAAAAATCTGATTACTCACCAGTTTGGATAGCTTTGCAAACTTTAGACAACTTCTGCAGTAGAAGTACATGGCTGTTGTAACATAAGGAAATTCACCCGTATTCTGTAGGGAACATCCTGTTAAGGTTACCTCACCAAAAATATGATACATATATTAGACTCAAGGTTTCATTCCCCACCGTTAGCCAAAACTTGCTATCTGAAGGGAAAGCCAATGAGCACAGTCAACGATCATCGGCTCGGTTTGCCCAAACCTCGTGAGCAATCTAAGAGCAGCAATTTCGTCTTTCGGCTTTGGAAGCGAGGCGCTTCTTTGTGACAACGTAGACAAGCTCTATCTCCCCTCGCCTGCGGAGAGATTATGAACGAGACACGGTAGAATTTCATACTTGAAGGCACGGTTCACGATAAAGATGGTCTCTGATTATGTGGCGGTGTGAGGTCGGAAAAGGCCCTTGATAGGGCACAATAAGGGGCCAGAGATTGTATCGCGAGAATGCCCCAACTCCCGTTAGGTTGACAATGAAGTCTAGTTGCCGGGCTCTACTCTGCATCTCTGACTCTAGGTGGCAGAGTGCATACAGACCGCGCTAGAAGATGAGAACCAGGGTGGACGAGATGATTGTCAGCCAAAAGCAAAAAGTTGGCATCGAGCCATCTCTGCTCTCCAGCGCGGTCTTTATGCACTCTGCCGTCTGGTGTCAGAGACGCAGGGCACAAAAAGGCGCTGGAACACTCCAACTACATTTTCACAAGTAAATATTAGGTTGATGCATAATTATTGCGGATTTTTTTCAGCAAATTTTAATTAAAAGAAAGACGAAAATATTTGACAAATACATCTCCGGACGTATTCACCATCTAATTCAAACACTGCTTTCTATTTGCTAGACAGCCAGATTCCACAGGCGAAGAAGTTTCGGTCCTTGGAGGCAGTCTTCACCTTGACATCGACCTCCCAGTCATCCATTTCGTCGTAGGGTCTACTTGCTAGCCAATATTTCAACGAACGGGTGACGTGATAACTTATAGGGTTTATGGAGGTCGATATGGAGATTTAGGAGCGAATTCCAGTCCTCAGTTGGCTTTGGCTGACAACTTCATCGCCAAAAAGTTTGTTGAGAACGCGTAATGAATGTGTCACCGTCCATCATTTCTCGAGTAATATAGCATGATTTGGTGAGTAAGAAGATGACTTTCTAGACATATTTCCATTAAGGAAAGCCAGTAGATTATTTCTATAAAAATCCCGACTTTGATATTGAAATTGTATGGAGAGAAAAGAAGCAGCGAAAAAATACGCAGTAATTATGCATCAACCAATTATATACATTTCAACGTAAATTACATTTTCACCCATGAATATATACAACTGATTGTAAAAAATCAATGTAAAGAATTTGTACATACCATTTCAATCCAATGACCTGAAATGCAGAACAATGACCACAGTGGAGCAGAATAATAGTGGGGAAGTAAATCCGATCAGCAAAGAAAGTAGGGTATGGGTACTTACGTGCGTCCGAGGATGCGCGCGGCAAATTGCGCGGAGAAGTGCGTGGTGATTCGAACGACTCTGGCGCCTAGNCGTGGTGATTCGAACGACTCTGGCGCCTAGCATTGGGGCCCAAACTCGAAGTAGACTAGTTTAGTAGGGTCAGCTGATACTACCGATCTACTCTACTTCAAATTTGGGCCCCAATGATAGGCGCCAGAGTCGTTCGAATCCCCACGCACTTCGCCGCGCAGTTTGCCGCGCGCATCCTCGGACGCACGTAAGTTCCGTCCCCCAAGAAAGTAAATGAGCTATTTGGTTGCGTTGTACGCAATTGCAGACGTTGCGTGAGCTCGACCTAACACTCCATCTACGCACGCCTTTTTTGCGCCAATGCGTTCGTCCAACCCCTTTTTCCGAGTAGTAGAGCTTTTCCTACCGTTTCTCGTTCTATTTTTTCCGCAGGCAGGTTTTCCCTTTAGTAACCTGCTCTCGAGTTAGTCCTCATCCTTAGTCCGAAACGCAATAATTCAGATGTGCTCTAGCAGAGTTTGCTGTGAGCAACCTAACGCGGGAAGAACGAGTTCATCGGCGGCCACAGGAGGACAGACAAGGGGGACTCGAGCAAAGAAGCCTTTATCCCTCCTGTTCCTCACATCCGTACCTATCACTGCTTCAAAAGCGAATCGGTATGTCGGTTAAGACAGAATTGCGCATGATCAAGAGTACTGGGTCCTTGGATTAAAGCACATGAATAAATATTTAAAACTGAAAGAAAAGTAAAAACAAGTGTGCAGAATTGCTATTAATATCACCCAGATAAGAGTGACCAAAGCAGGACCGCTCAACCGCCTCCCTTTTCAACTCTACCAGAGGTGGTAGGCCAGCTCGAATATAAATACAACCAGTCGGGCCCCCCGGCTGACGCCGGGCTTCCCTCCTACTTATGAGTTCGCCCGGCTACGCCGGGCGCTCCCACTTCCTGTGAAAAACTTGCTGTGTGTAAATAACACTTCGGATTCTCCTTCTGCTTTGAAAGCTCTACACCCTCAGAATTAGCTCCGAACTGGGAGTGATTTTTTTCTGTAAGCCAATCTCGCTGCGTCCGAAAGAACATTGTTTAATATCACAAAGGCGATTATTAAGGGAAAAAAGTATTCAGAGAATTCATCGCGGCTGAGGCTACTATGTTAGCTACCATCAACGTTCCTCAATGCCATCATCAAGGGCTCTCCTCCTTCTTGGAGCAAAGGGACTTTGCCCGAAAATATCGAATTAATGAAATTCCCCCTTTGATATGTTATTTCGCTTTTTCGCTGAGCGAGAGTATAGACTATCAAATGCCTTCAAAGATGTATCTCCTTTTCTCTATGGATACATCATCAAATGTGAATCCAACATTATTACCGGTCGGAGAAAGTTTGCTAAGAATGATATCAAAGCAAAGTGAAACCGGATCTTTTACTCAATGGCAACTCTGCTGGCTAGCGGTCGTAATCTAATAGCAAGAAGTGGACCAAATTCATCTCCTTATAATCACACAACTTGACCTTCTTGTCGAATGAAACATAACAAAAAGTCAAAGCTAGATCGTAAATAACAAAGGCGCTGGGAGGTAATTGGTGTGTGGATCTTCTTTTCTAAGGCCTCTCCTATTGTCCGTGTTCCCATCCTGCCCACTCCTGTTGATCGCTCACCAAGTCCACGGGATCAGGAGTTTCGGATTTCTACTCATTTATTTCGTGAAATCCTGTTCCTTGGGGGCGTAGTCCGGCCCTACTACTCACCATGACTGTTCCCATACTGCCTCCTATCAAGTTCGAACGCCCTAGAAGCAAACTGAAAGATTTGGCGCAAACCTCGCCTTCTATAAGCGGGTTCCGGTCCTCCCACCTACGATAAATGTTCCCATCCTGCCGCCTGTACTCCTGCCAAGTTTGAATGCCCTACGGCCAAATTGGCTATTGCGGCGCAAAACCCCACCCCCTGTGCAGGGATTCCGGTCCTGCCACTCACCATAAGTGTTCCCGTCCTGTCGCCTGTGCTTCTACCAAGTTTGAAAGCTGTAGGTCCACGGGGACATGAGTTATGATATTGCGGCCTAAAGTTTCTAACGCGCACGCAGCGCTCCCTGTGAACGGAGTCCGGTCCTGCCACTTATCAAAGGGTTCCCATCCTGCCCTCCTTACTCCTACCAAATATGAACGCTCTAGGTCCACGGAGACAGGAGTTATGAATTTCCGGTCAAACACACACACACAAACACACACACAAACACACCGACACACCAACAGACACACTTAGCGAATTATATTAAGTAGGATATTTTAATACCAGGGTTCAATCACCTGAGATTTTTTAAAGACATACTTATCACGATGCTAGTTTAGTTCCAAACCACAGTTTTCAAGTAACCACTCCACTCCACATCACTCGCTTCACTACTCAGTACTCACTCTACTCCACTAACCCACCCACCACGTTACTACCCTATGTATAAGAAGGAAATGTAAGAGTTAGGCTTTCCATATCACTGCCTTTATCGTAATCATAATGTTTGCGGACGGACACACCGACAGACATACCGACAAACCGACACACCAAGATTCTGCTTTATAATTATTTTAATATAATCGAACTTGCATCGAATAAAAACAAATATAAGCCCATATCATCGACCTGTTAATCGTTGATGAATCGAAATCAAATAGGTAAAAAATGTGTTAGCCTTACTCTTGCAAGATGCAAAGATTTCGACTTCCTTTCAACGATACGAATTTTCCCAACTTGTCTCTCATTCAGAATAGAATTTCACTTATTCAAGCCGAAACATTCTTATAACATACACCGTCTTCTCCTATATCTTTAGCCGACTTATTTGGCCCGAACGAAGCGGTGGTGTTCAGTTCGCGTTGCATGTCTCCTTCAATGTCACTCCACGTAACGTGTGTGCCAAAAAGGCCACCAGCTTTTGTGTAGAGATTCATGTTTGCTAAACTTTTTAAGACCTGAAATTCCGTTGTGAGGAAAACTACGTTTTGATATGAACTCAGAAAACCATTTTCGCAGCCGTTACGACGGCAACTGGTCACAGTGCCATCTAAGTAAGCCGGATTTTATTCATTTATATATTTATTTCTTAATTGTCGTATACCAAAATGCTACTATGGAGAGGCGGAAAATTTCACAACACTCGAAGCAGGACTAGGATTAGCTAGGAAAAGAGTTGGACAGCATTTACAAGAAGAAACGACGTTACCATCAGCTTTTGTTTCAGGATGTCCTTATATATAGTAGGGAAAGGAGATTAGAAAGACGTGATGGATTATGGGCGGTGAAGGGCAGTGCTAACTTGTAAGAGTATTATAATAGTTACCCCGGTGTCTAGATGGAGCAGACGGTCTGCTTGCAAGTGCTGTGATATCACAACAGAACTAATATGTTACCATCTTGAAGCATTTTCAGTAGAACATATTCCACGGAGACTGATCGACGAAGCTATCAACTTGTTTTAAGAGGCAGAGTTCACGATAATTTTGAGGTGCCCTTTTTAGGTAGAAAAGTGGATTGAAGTAGAGGACTACATCGCTGGAGAAGGAAGCGAGAAAATCGCTTTCTTCGAGATTTTTTAAAATAGGAAGTGAAGGTTGTACGAGATCAACTTGGCGGTAATGGCACGTGATGGGTGTTTGAACGAGATTCAACTCCCATTGCTCAAAGAGATGATTTCATCAAGCCGAAATTGTCCGGAGCTCCTTCCCACTGTCGCCAAGGTTTGTGACGAGTTGTTTAAACTTCCTTCATGAGAGCCTCTTGGGATAGTTCAGCCTCTACAAAGCCGTTGAAACACGTCCACGATGAGTGTGGCATTCACTCGATACAATCTCTGGCCCCTTATTACGAAATATCCATGGTGTTTTTCGACCTTACAATGGCAGGCATGATATAAGGAGGAGCCACGAATCCTTCTATGGGAAATTCTCAGGAACCATTTTTATCGTGAACTGTGCCTTTGAGGCTCCGCCAAAAAAACTGTGCAATGTGGCACCCTCATTTTTCATAAAAGGAAAAACAAATGGCTAACATGAGTAGGTAGTAAGTAGTCATAGACGAGAATTCGAAGGATATTCGGTCTATCGAAAGATGCATAACTGAAGTGGATGTTGGCTCAATGAATAGTACTAGCTTATGGGAAACCTTTCCTCTCAGTTGTCGTGAAAATTTTTACCATCATGCAGAAACTACGTAGACAGCGTCAATAACTTCGGAGCACTTTTGCACAGTCGCTGAGTGCCTTCAATTTTTTCCTTATCCGACGGACATAATCGGATGATCCCATCGAATCCTGTCTGTCCTATCCATCATGAAAATTAAAGCCGTTGTGCTCAAGCTGTGTGACAACGTGGGATAGGAGCAGCAAATGACTAGCAGCTCATCAAACACGCAAGAGGGAACCGGATTGGATGACTTCTTTAAAAGATTCTCCTGAGTTTGAATGATAATGGTTCGAAAAGAAAATGAACCTGCGGAGGCTGCTGTTTCTTGCTTCGACCTCAACTCCATATGGAAGTCAAGTGCGAGAGTGCATTCCTGTTAACTCCTAAAAGATTTACTCTTTATTCTTCATTTTGAGAATTAATGCCACAAGGGAAATCTTTATCTCTAGAGTACGAAAAGTCGTCTACGAATATCCCAACACAAATAAATTGAGACTGCTGAATGAATTTCTCAAAAATCTATTAGCGATAAAAGTTTGAAAGTAGTGCTGGTTGAAGTGCAGCGCTTGTTTGCCACGGAAGCGAGTGTCGTCATAACCTAGCGGTAGTAGTTTCCCCCTTAGGTGAAGGTTTCGTTTAGAACTGAACTTTGACTTCCTTTTCAGACCAAATATATAAATCCCAGAATTGATCATAAGTAATTAGTAACTTTCACTGCAGTGAGTTCCATAAAGTTCGGTCTCCTTGACGATCAGATCCAAAATCTAGTCGTTCAAAAACAGTTCGAAAGAATCTAACGGTTCTTTGCAACTGAGAACTTCATCATTTGGGCCGCAGCGACCGCTAAAAATCCAAGGATCATGAGGTGAAATACCACTGCTCCACGACGAAATACTTTCACTATCAATGTCCTCTACTGATTCATCTGATTATGTTCTTCGCAAAATCTCATCCACTTCATCTTCAGTTGTTCCTTGTTTTTCCTCAACGGAAGCGATTAGTAGTGCGTCAAAATCTAATGTGTCCTCAGCATCGTATTCGACTCCAGCCATTTTATAGGTGTTGCTTTTGAGATGTTCCTTGTCGTTGACGTTACAAGAATTTAAATTTTGCCAGGCGACTACGTAGTGCACGACTTGCCTTCACTCTCTTACAATTAGTGAGGCAGTGTATATTCACGTATTTCAGATCTCACTAATAACAAGCTATATATCTTCCTACCCCCAGTTCTCCCTTTCTACAGCTCTCTAGGCCCTAGGCAGCAATTTCCTATCTCCGCTTTACAAATACATCAAAGCTGTTTCTATTTCGCTGAGAGGGAGCAGACAAGCAGAGCACTCCCTGTCGCCTACTCTTTTCATTTACCAACCCAATACACTTTTGATGCCGCTTCTCAGCTTTGGCTTCCCAAAAGTGCACCTTGTGAGGCATCTTGACGCGCATGCGCGTCAAGATGACCGTACTCGCCAAAACGCTCATGTCCCATGTGGCCGAAAATCCGAAACATGCGCTGTCGTCAGTGGATTGAAGTGACGTGGAAAGAGCGGGTTTTCGATTTTCTCATTAATTTGTTCACACGTTCCATTTACGCCCCCTAACAAATATAATGGATGAAGATAGCAGCCATTATGATTAGCCAAAGGAGGTCTAGAGGGAGAACTTAGACTCTTCTAACCTAGACCAACCGAGGGGGACATTGAACTCTAGAGCCTGCACCAGCCGTCTATGGTATCCAACTGTATGAAGGAAACTGCCCGGTTTCGGTACACAGAAAGTTCGTGGAGCAGATTAACAGGTATTGAAGCCAATCCTACAAACTCGAGAATGGAAAGATGGTCTTTATCAAGACCACTGGGTTTTCCGAGTCTTTTATGACTGGATTAGTCCTTGTCCAAGTTCTTCAGAAGGATGAGAACTAGTAGTAATATGTAGTTATGATCAAATATCCTACTTATATAATCGGCTAAGCGTGTCTGTTGGTGTGTTTGTGTGTATGTGTGTGTGTGTGAGTACGTGTGTGTGTTTGTCCGACCGGAAATTCATAACTCCCGTCCCACTCTCGTTAAGGCATTTAAATTTGAAAGAGAGATAGGCGGCAGGATGGGAACAGTGACGATAAGTGATAGGAAGTGACAACAATCAGTAGAAACTGATAAGAAGCCATGATACCAAGTGGTAGGGACCGATAAGAAGCCATAGAAGGCGAAGACCTGTGGGTCTGTGACGCGCTTCTCGTTAATAGCGGAGTCCTGGTATTTCAATAGGTGATGCAATATGTGACAAGATCGTAGGTACTCGGTGACGAGATCGAGAACGGTTGGTGCAAGGCCAGGAGCTGATAAAACTGATGAGGGCTAATAAAAATTTTCGAGAGCGGGGAGCCACTATAATAATGGCATTAATAGTGGTGCCTTGACTGTTCGGCATGTGATGTGGAGTATGGCGGGATTGTAGAAGACCGATGATAGGAACTGTATCAGCTGATAGCGACTGATAAGAGCACTTACCAACTGAATTTAACTCCTGTGGTGTTTAAGATGCATTTATGATTACGACTCTTATATAGATTACGACCGCTACCCAGCAAGGTTTGTAACTCGGTGGAAAATCTAGGTTACTTCATGTTTTGATATTCTTGCGACAAAGCTCATCTGACCGCCAATAATTTGGGATTCTCAGCTAATGATGTACCCGTGGAGAAAGGAAGGCCCAGTGATAACGACTTCTTATAATGGTGTTACTATCACTTGAGAACATTTGTGTGTACTAATAGTCCTTTGGTTGCCTGTCAGTTGAACCTTTGATGGTTCACAATTTTCAGAGCAACCGATTGACACTTTCAATCGTGGACGTAAGTATCGGCACACCCTAAATACCACTGGCGCTGGCCTGCTTATACTGGCTCCCCTCTTTTTGAGTCCTGTGTCATGCCGTTTACTAGAACCTAAAGAAGGAGGAAAGCTCGGCGTTCTATATATAAAGCGGTAATTTTGTATGTCTGTTTGTATGCCCGTTTGTCCCCGTCCTTTCGAAAGTCACGTAGGCACTATGAAGAGTGTGTATGTCACGTGAGCGCAATGAGGAAACAGTTATGAGATGGGAAGTCAACCGATACTGTTCATATTGGTCCTCTAACAAGTCGTAGGTAAGCGGTAGTGGGCATGTGGTGCAAGCATTAGCGTGCGTAGCCCAACTAGTAAGCCATTAAGAAGGCGAGGGCATGCAGGGTCTCGGTAGTGCAAGGGATAAAAGCACGGTCCCCGGAAAGGACAAGTGCGTGTTCGAATCCCGTCGGAGACTGAAGTTTTGTCCATAAATCGCCAACCTTGTGATCCATAACTGTTTTTGGGAGCCAGAGGGTAACAATCGGAAAGTGCGATCTTGCTCACAAGCTCCTTAGAGTCAGCTCTCTCCTGCCTTCCGGATGACACCGCTATCGCCGTTTTAAACATATCACTTGTGATAGCTCGCTTTGTTTTGAAGGAATGCGTCGAAGTGAAGTGTACTAAAATGTTTTTGTTATTGGATTTCCGATACCATTTGGTACGATAAAAACCTCCTTCAAATCTGACTTGTTTCCTCGAGCACTGTAGCTCCAAACTCCTTCCATTTATCCTCAGAACTCGACAGCAATGTGAGCTCTGTATAGCAAAATCTTTAATTTTCCGGCACCCGCAGCTACAGCTACCTCTAGTCCGGGAAAACATCCAAGTGCAAACGCATGTTGGCGAAAAGCAGGTGGGCAAAAGAGGAAGGGATGACGTATGAACTTAGCATACATAATAATAGCATGTAGCACATATTAGAGCAAAACTCCAGCAAAGGAGGAGGGAAGCCCGGCGTTAGGCGAAACGGAGATGTGAAGTTCTTGGAACTAAATTGACTCAACCCTCCAACCTTCCAATGTCCCCTGTTCGAGGTCTTGTGGTCGTTGTGTTCGAGAACAGTAATATAGAAAAAAGTTACGGCCTCTATATTCCTGGTTGTTTTCAACATATTTTATGGTGTATCTGATGACTGCTTCATTGTGCGCAACTATGGTAATTTCACAATCCGACGAAAGACGGTCATAAAACAACAAAACACAATACACAAAAGCTCGCCAATAGAGAGCGATTTCAAACATTAGGAAAACACATATTCAAAACAGGAAAAGGCGAAGCTCAGAGATAGCCATATTTTGCAATGATCTTTATATACGTTCTAACAATAATGTATTTCTAGGAATTCATTGGTAGGAGTAAATTTGATGGCAGTAACAACCGCGACTTTCTTTCAAATTCAACTTCTTAAATTTCTTGATGTCACTAAGTGATGAGAATTTTAACGCGGGTGAAAAAGGTGGAAAAATGGATCCCGAGTGCTCAGGCTAGTTGTTCTCCCTTCTGTATTCTGGTATTTCGATCATGGTAGCAGAAAATATCATCTAGTATAAAGTCGATTTTCTCACACACTATTTCCAGACACTACAATGAAAAATTATAATACAACAAAAAGTAGTTATGTTTTCTACAGTGCGCATGAAACTCATTATGAAAATTACTTTTTTTCTCAGTCCCTCGTCTGGACACTTGAAGAGACTTTCAAAAGGCGACCCTATCAATGATAATGCCATGAAGCCACCGATCGGGAAGAATCGCCTATATGACTCTTTGAGCTGAAAACGATGTATAAAGGGATACAAATTTGAAAGTGAAGTGAAGTTAAAGGTGTGGACAAATTTCCTAATTGCTGGGCAGTACTACAGCCAACAGGTTCGACGCTTTTTCATTATCATGAATTATCGTTACTGATTCCATCTATCTATTCCACAGTCGGCTGATTTCTAAATGTAAAGTCGTTCAGCGTGAGTCATTTAACTGCGTTTCAACCGTTTCTGCTGATAAGTCAGAACTGCTTATTTGATGATAAGGCCGTTTTACCTGTTCAAGCCAACATGTGTCGGCAACAAAGAACATTTCAGTACGGTCGTAAATTTTGGCTTTAGTCCCTCTCGTACCAGTGTACACACCCACCACCATGATTTGGCCGCTCTTTCTTTGATACCCTCAGACTACTCTTCTGGATTCCGGGACGTTTTTGAACAGGCATAAATTTCTGATCTAAATCCGATCCGTTAACCCATATCGACTTAGGATTTGGCTACTTTTCTTGATAGCCTCTACCTACTTTTGCAGGATTTCACAATGTGTTTGAAAAAAATTATAAACCTGCATGAAGGCATACCCCACCTATCATGTGCGAAATTAGGCAAGCTCAGCACATGTAGATGTAGATTAGGCCTGCTCATCACATGTAGACCTTCGTCACTTGAACAAAACTTTCTGGCCTACAAGATGTGTTGGAATCGAGTTTGAATTAATTCAGAGAATGCAGCCGACTGTGAAACCGCTTCGCCCGCGGCCACTTTCATTCATTTTATTTTTTACCCATTCCTGAACTTTGTTCTTCCTTCTTTGAGCTGTTCTGAGGCCAGATCAAAAGGAACTACCCTTGGCATAGCCTAATCAGCGTGCTATCAGATAATTCCCTTTCCACTGTAGATGGAGCACTGTTACGACAACATGTGCTATGTCGATCTTGCCTTATGCTCCATCCATTTCAAGTTTAATCTGACCCATTACCTATAATCGCATCTTGGGATCCCGCTGTTCGTACTCCTTGTCTCGATTCCAAACTTCTAATACCTGTTCAAGCGAATATGGCACTTTTCTACCGCCAAGTTCTTCTAGGAGATATCCATAAAAGACTTCCAAGAGTTCTTCCCAATGTGCTCGTCGGTGTTTTCCGCTTAGGCATGTGACAAATAAACGCACGAGATCTGTTCCAGCGCATCCAAAGTGAGCTGCCTGAAATGGATAATTGACAAATGTACATTGTCATCATTCTCGTTAAAAGAACGTTGACATTCGGAAGCTTCATAGCTCAGGCCCCTCTGTGACTACTAATAAGAAATCAGGGCTCCTTTCATACATCCGAAAATCAGTGGCCTTACTGATATCCAAGCAAGTTTCCTCTGTGATCGGTATTGCGTCATTGAAACATGCCGACTAATGTAATCAGATATGTATATAAGCTCATTGTCATCAAAAAAATTTCTAACGCCTCCGATGTTCGATTCTAGCTAAAAAGTATCTAAAAGGTCAATCTCACAAGAAGCTTATTCATTTGAAACCATACCTGATAATCTATGATAGCAGCGAGAGAGAGCCCGTTCTCTTCCAACCTCCAGAGAGTATTCATAGACCATAAATCTCCATGGCACAAAACTCTATCCATTCCTTCGAAAGTTTATATTACATGCACTATGAAGATAATTTATTGAGAAAACGGCAACGAGGAAAACCGGATACAGAACTGGTAAAGTGGGTACGCTGAAAGCGTTTAACTTCAGCTACTGTAATACCACTTTCGGGTTGATTACAATTCCAACAAATACAGAGTAGAACTAAGCGTCATTGTTCTCAGTGGCAAGTTATTGAAGGCGGGGGGGAGGCAAAGTCAACTACTGACGGTAAAAAAGAATGATACTTTGGTTACGATGAGTAATTTTTAGTCGGTGAGAATGGTGAGAATGGTGCGCGGCGTGTTCGGAGTCGGCTAGGGAGTAAATTGTGGACCAGAAATCAGCGTTACTCAGAGACGCAGGTGAATTCATGGGTTCGGCTACCAATTTCTGCTGTATCATACCATCGCACTCCCTGCATTTGCATCCATGCATACGTGTGTGAGCATTGACAGTCTTCGTTGCCCATACATTAGCATCCAGCTAGAAAGAAGAGGAGGTGGGACCGTTTCATATGAGCTTAAGAATCCCTATAGTGAGGATCATATGCACTTTATTCGAGTTCATCGTCAGTGATTTCAACGCTAAATTTCGGTGTAGAGGAACGGCTGAAGAGCTACCATCGAAACCCAAGAAAAGGAATAGAATGAGCAGGCTGGAAGACTGTCCAAGTTTATCACGTCCACCCACACTATCTATGGTAACGAGCAGTTTCGTGAGCCTTCTCATTTGTGATGGGCATGGGCTACGTGATGAACAGTTTCATAATGGAATAGTTCACATCTTCTCTTCTCAAAATTTTTGGGTTGATGCGACAGGATGGAGTAGCCGATCTGCATCTATCACCAACTGAGGCCCCAGCTTGCCAATCTATGCAGAAAAGTGATAATTAACATTAGTAAAAGAGCAAAGCAGCAGCTCTTGAGTTCTAGCCATAACCGTTGAGCATTCATAACATTTGCCGGAGCTTCGCCAACAGCACAACCGAGAGACCTCGCTTTGTCGTTCTGGACCTATTACTGCATATCAACGCAATGCAAATGTCATCTACAAATTCTCCTAGTACGCTTTTGACAGGCACGTCTACCTTCCTGCCTACCATCTGAAACAGGATGAAAGTGCCGTTTTTTCAGTTCTCTTTTTTAAACTTAGACGAACCATCAGGTCGATGAGGATTCGTTCAGAACTAGAACGACCTGATGGTTCGTCTAAGTTTAAAAAAAAGAACTGAAAAAACGGCACTTCCATCCTGTTTCAGATGGTAGGCAGGCAGGTAGACGTGAAGTGCCGTCCACAATTACGGACCGTAGCAGTGTGCCTAATGAAATGTTAGGTACTCACGTCGCGCAAACTAGCAAGACTGCGTTGGTGTATGAGAAGGGAAATCGAGGTGATGTATGAAACTTCCGCCCAATCTACTTTCTGCTTGTAAACTTTAATATACAGTAGCGCTCAAAAGTCTTCGGTGAAATGGTTCTTCAGCCGTATTTCTCAGTCGTAACTTCTTTCCTACTGGATCTAATCATGCGGAATTTCTATATTTGGAGCGTGGGTGTACTGTGAATATTCACCACTATTAAAATGCAATCTAATCATGTTCCAGATATTCCAAAGAGCATGAACTCAAAATCGACTGAAAATACAGATGATAATCCTTCTAGAATCTCTTTCCTTTTTGTCATGTCTCAAATGTACGAGCGGTAATGCCGAACACCATAGATGAGAAAAACGCACATAAGATGGGAATAAGTGCAGACGTCAACAACTCTAGTTTTAGCAAAATCTGCTACCGCAACAGACATCTTGCTCTAGCTGTGGATATTGCAGCTTCGCAGTCAAATAGGGTCGGGTAGGGTGAAATATGCTCTAGTTAAACATATCCAAAATTCGCGCGATTTGGTCTACTAAGAAAAAAGTTATGAACGAAAAAGCGTCAAAGCATTTCACCGAAGACTTTTGAGCGCTACTGTATATAAAGTGTATATAAAGTATAAAGGATGAATCAAGTTTGGAATGGGTTGAGCATAGGGCAAGACCAAAACCACATCTGAGCTTAGCGGAGCTCTGCTCACAGGCTCGGAACATGCACAGGTGTGGACGGTGTTGGGCAAATCTTTTTTAGTCGGTCTCATAACAGGCCAGACGCAGAGAAAAAATGAGCAAAGGTGAGGGATGGGTTACCAAATGAAATGAAGGAGAATCACTGACGGTGGCAGAGCGTCCCTGCAGTGGGCGGAACTTTCCACACAAGCTCATAACCCGATTCAACTAGGCGTGGAGGCCAGAAAAAATAAAAGGAGTGAGTAAGGCCTCATGCGTGTCGGGCATGCGTAAAGTGGTTAGAGGTAGAGGAACAAATGTAGTCAAACCCCAGGAGTAGGCAGGGCTCGCACTTAAGTGGGCGGGGCGTAGATCAAAAGCTCTTAACTCTGTTCAAAGACGTTCTATAATGCGGAAAAGTGGTTAAAGGTGGTTGAATAAATGTATTCAAGTCCAAGAAGTGGGAGAAGTGGGCGGCTTTTGCATCAAGGTGGTCGGAGGCTAGATAAAAACTCATAATCTGTGTGGAAAAGTTGCAGGATGTGGGAAAAGTGGTGAGAGGTAGTGGAACAAATGAGGTCAAGCCCCGTAACTGGGCGGGATTCGCAGCTTAGTGGGTGGACCGTAAATCAAAAGTTCATGACTCTGTTCAGAAACTTTGTAGAATACGGAGAAAAGTGGTTGGAGGTGGCAGAAGAAGTGTGATCGAATCCTTTAGGTGGGTGGAGTTAAGGTGCAAAATGCATAATTCTATTCAAAACTTTCTAGAATGCGGAGGAAATTGTAAGGGGCAGGTAACAGTAGATTGGTCGAACTTTCATAGTGGGACGGCACTGCGTCGAGGTCACGGGGTTATCGTCAACTGCACAGTGGTGGACGGGGCAATGGTCAACCGCTAATAATTTTGTTCAAATGAAATACAAAACCGCGGATGCTTTTTAGCGGTCCCATTGTTTGAATCAGAGAATCCATCTCGTTCTGATACATCAAATATTCCGCTGAATGACGCCATCGTAGATTAGCGGTCGTGATATACATCCACGCGTTAGCGTGCATAACCAAACTGGCCCTATAAACATTTCGCACCAGTCGTCCTAAACAGAATTGGAGGAATTATAGATTAAGGACAGCCGCGCGAGCAGGTTCTAGAGAGGGTTCACGACAGCTGATCACATCCTTACTGACGCAAGGCACACTGGAGTAGCGCAAAAATAAAGCATGCTTTCATGACTGCATTTATCGACTATATTTATTCAATTATTAACTCATTTAGTGCATGCTTAGGTGCGCTGACTAGAACTCCATGATCACATTAATGCTTTTGATGAGTCAAAGTAGACCACGTCTACATCTTCGTCTTTTTAATAGTCGAATTACACTCTAATGTACATACAGTTAGCCATTAGTGCGCACTTGGAAGCGCCCATCTGGAAAGCATGGCGCTCAAAATCTGAGATCCAAAGAAAGGTTTTGATACTCGGACAATCGTAGTGTCCTTAGTCAGTGAATAGGGATGCTTTTTGATCCATACAACAATATCACGACCAGCTTTTCACCATTTTACAGGGAACTCATTGTCAGTTTGAAGGGAGGGGTCTGGCAGGACGATACCATTTCACCTAAACCTTTCAGTGCCGCTTTTAAGGATAAATGCGTCATCAAGCTTGAAAACGCATTCCGGTGAAAGTTGACGATTGCTACTCACATCATTTCCGCTTTACAGACGACTTTATGCTTATAGCACCAAACACTGAGCAGGCGAAACGAATGCTGAAGAATTTGACAACGCTTGGGGGAGGAACGGCTTACGACTGAACCTAATCGAGATTGATTACAAGAAACGGATTGGTACATGAAGGTTTCACATTTGATGGAACGAATGGCTCCAAATGCACACGCCAAGTGTATCTAGGTCGAGAAATCACCGTGATGAGTTTTACGATCCGCCAGATCAATGCGACTCGCGGTGGAGCGAATGATGCCATTACCGACGCCGGCTAGAGAAAATGAGTGACTAAAGAGACAGTGTACTTAAGCTACCGCGAATTTAATATATGAGGCGGATACTACACTAATCTCAACCTGGATTACGACATTTGATAACAGTGCTTAAAGTACTCAAAGTTGCTGAAACAACTATTTACAGTTCCTCAAAGTGGTTAGAAGACTGACAATACATAGCTCACCACACTCTTCCGAGAGTGAATCCACTCTTGATAAGTCACTCAAATCTGAGACAATCTTCTCCAAACGAAAAGCTTTTTCTCTGAATCTGCCACTTTCGAAGTTTCGGAATGCGGCCATTACAAGTTCCACTGCCTAGACAGTTGCAATTGGTCAAATATAGAGACGAGCCAAAATAAAGCAGGACTAAAATGAGCAGTTGGTTTCTCACCTCTGTTGAGAAGAATGCTGCATAATACTCCTCGAAAGAAGATTCTGCGAGCTGTTTTTTTTCCTCTGATGTGAAGTTTAGCGTGGTCGCTTCAAGAACGGCTTTGTTGCGGAGAATCTTGAATATATAAACCTATGAACGACGAAAAATGAGCGGGAAAATTCCGATGTTGCAGTTGAAGAACCTTCATGGTTAACCTACTAAACTGCATAAAGAATCTCCGACCTGATAAAGTCAGTATGTCACATACCTGTTCCACTTCAGCCGGTGTAAGTATTTCATAGAAATGTACAGAGACTATGTTTTCAATATACTCCATGATTATATATCCTTTAAGTGGATTGGAATCGGTAAACTTCTTCATGTGATAAATCTAGAAAACAGTCAACCTTACAACAGGACTAAATACGAGTATTGAAGGGGCTACTGGTTAAGATAACATTAGCCTGGTAAGAGAGACCTCTGACAAAGGGAATCACTCGAATTGATTGCCAGAATTCTCCCACTATTAAAAGTACACACACCGGAAAAATCAACAGCCTTCTCGCATCCTTAGAGCGAATTACTGAGGCCTGTTGCCCAGAACTCAGGAAATCATGATTCAGAGGACTCATTGACTAGCATTTTCAGATCACGTATTTCACGAATTTTTTTTCCAAAAAAGAAAAAAGTGATGTCTGAGAAGGGGGAGCAAAAGTTTTGATGGCGAATGTCTCGTGCATTAGAGAGGTTCAACCAAATGTTGACCGATATTCGGTTACTAGTGTTCTTAGCGAAAAGGCTGATGATAATTTCGATCGCTTTTTCCCTTGGCGAGCTCAGTAATGATGATATTACGAGTCCAGTGTTGTCCAATCATTGATGAGAAGCTTACGTGCTGCCCTTGTTCACTCATGTGTTGATTGCTCGAAGAACTTGCTAAAAGTTTATCACCGCTATCTTGTTCAAATCGTTAAAAATTTATACAAAATTTTTAACGCTTCAGGCTTTTGACGAAATACTTGTTCGCTAGCGTAATGTGAATGTGTAATCATTACAATCGAAATAACTGAACACCAACCTTTAAAAGATCCATTTCCCCTTCAGGAAGCTTGAGCAGATGATCGTAGACTGTTACTTCCGCATTGTGACTCTAAAACCGACTACGTCTCCGTATTATCCTACTCTTTCATATAACAGTAGCTACGAGTAGAGATGAGGCCTACGCTAGTCCTTCAACCATGTAAACGAAATGTTCCTCTGATAACCGTTCATGGCGGAAGAGCACGCTAAAAGGTATTGTTCGAAGTGTTACGATCTACAGAAATAGACAGTGGTTTTTGTTTGATTTTTGCGACTGTTTCTATTGCTCATATGACCATCGTGACGACTTAAGTAGTGACTAATCAAAAACTGTCAATTTCGACAGTTTGCGGGTCAAAAAAAANAAAAAAAACTAAAAAGAAACAAGTTTCACCAATAGCTGAGCAGTATCGTTTTGATTTCGAAGTGCTTGCCTTTTTCTGAAGTTTTTCCATGCTAATCTTAAACTCGGGAATGTCGAATACGTTCTTTACATTCTTCTCCTCTGCAATCTCTGCCGAAAGTTTCTGCAGGGAAAGTTGGGTTACAATCTGAAATCATGTTAGTGACATACGGTAAAAGGGAAATGTTAATATGAGGTACTGGCTGGCAATTTGTCACAACGCCAATTGCGGAGGGCTCCTATCAGAGTGTGAAAGGTCATTAATTTTGAATCCATGAAAAATTACTGCGTAAGTAAATGTGGAGGAGTGGAGCTGGTTATGGATTTTGTCAAGGAGCTGCAGGTGTTGGCACTGAGGAGCTGCTGTTAAATAGTGGCCTGACCAGAAAGTTCTGCGACAGAAATTCGAAGCGTTAAAAATGAACACAATAGTCAGGGTGATGAATTTATAGGACATTTACCGGAAAATCAATACATGGGTTAACAAAGACACTCACAAGGGCTTTCGCAGCAGTACCGCCATTGAATAGACAATGCTGAACTTTGAATAGCATTTTTAACTAAGCACGCCAAGAGAGAAACGCGAGTGTAACAGTTCAGATATCCGCAACCTATTCGATACTAGCACTTTTCACCGATCAACGGTGAACAATCCGCTGGATCGCTTCACGGAAAGAGGTACTATCCTTCGAAGTAACGCAAGCATCGTCTTATACTTTTGTGTGACGTGAAGGGACCCATTCACTATTAGTTGCTAAATGCAGACCAGGTGTCACAGCTATCGCTTACCCTTAGTATTCGTGTAACAGGGTAAGAGGAAGACGTCTAAAACCGTAATTTAGCTTCCTACTACAGAAGCCCAATGCACGTCAAAATTTCGCTAAACACGCCTATTAAATGTCCACCGGCTCAGCTCATTTCAGATTGTTCATCAATAATACTCCAGAATATTGTTCCTTACCATGTGCTACCATTTGCTCAGCCTGCTCAAGCAAACCATTATTGGGAAAAAACTTAATATGATCTGAAAAGTGCTACCAATTACTTCTTTAAGTGCTAACAATTACTTCTTTGAGTCACAGTTTCCCGACTTCTGGACAAATGGCATCAGTGGTTTGCTAAGAGGATAAGAGGCGGATGTTCGTTTCTTGAGTGAACATACTTCAATAACTGCTTTACGGGAAAATTTTAGAAATTAATTCGAAAAGGCCTTCATTTCGTAGCAGAACGTTTTGGCCAAACATCGAATTTTGGAAATATCAGTAGTTTAGTGTTCCCAAACACACCTTAACTACAAATTTTTCTGGTACTTCTTTGTCTCGGTGCTGCCAATCGGGTTCAATGAGCAAGACTTTCGACATGAATCCCTGGAACATAAGAAATCGCAAGGATCAGGCACATCAGAAAGTTTGTTACCAAAAAAATCTCCTACGGACTCACATTTTTTATTGAAACTTAGAATACATTCTTTTTCTACAGATGAGGAGAAGTTCTCTTGTGAAAGCCAGAACTACAGATGGCACACTCTTGATAAAGATTTTTTCAGGCCAAGCTACGGCTTCAGTCAATGACATGGCCTCCGCTGCTGTGTTTTTATCGAAGAGCTCGAAGCATCTCAAAAATTTTTGGATTTCCATTTCCTTTTGACAATGGAATTAACTATGTGTTTGGCGAGATGGCGATCTTTTCTATAATGACCTTGTTGTTCTCCCCGTGCGTGTCACTTTTGCTATCGAATCAATGATTAACTGGATTGTGGTAGAGCCGCTAGCACGGCGCATAGGGTAGATATTCCCAATTTGGTTCTAGGTGTCTCAAGAGATGCAGTGAAAAATTCCGATTACTAACTAGTTTCGATACTTTCAAAAATTTCAGCCAACTCCAGTAGAAGTACATGGCTGTTGTCACATAAGGGATATCACCCGAGTTATATAGATAGCATTCTGATGAGGTTATCTCAGCAAAAAAAGTGCAAGAATATTGAATAACTTCAAATCTGACACATGTATGTGCTTCACGGTTTCATTCCTCACAGCTAGCCAAACCTTTCTGTACGAAGGGAAAGCCAATGAGCATGGTCAACGGTCGTCATCTCGGTTTGCCCAAATCAATCTAAAGGCGGCAATTCTGGCTTTCGGCTTTGGAAGCGAGGCGCTTCTTTGTGACAATGATGAACGAGGTCTAGCTCTTCCCGCTTGCGGGAAGAATATGAACGAAAGACGGTAGAATTTCATACTGAAAGGCATGGTTAACGATAAAAATTGCTCTGAGTTTTTCGTATATTATGAAATCGAGTCCGTTCTGTGGCGGTGTGAGGTCGAAAAACGTCCCAGCTAGGTAACAACAAGGGGACAGAGATCGTATCGTGAGAGTGTCACACCCACTGTTAGGCTGACTATAAAGTCTACTTGCCGGACTCTGCTCCGCGCCTCTGACACCAGATGGCAGAGTGCGTAGAGACCGCGCTAGGGGAGAAGAACGAGGGAAGATGAGATGATTATCAGCAAAAAGCAAAAAGCTTGGCATCATACCATCTCTGCTCCCAAGCGCGGTCTCTATGCACTCTACCGTCTGATGTCAGAGACGCAGAGCACAAAAAGGCGCTGAAACACCCCAACTACATTTTCACAAGTAAATATTTACATTTTATCGTAAACTACATTCTCATCCGTAAATATGTACATTTTATCGTGAAAAATTAACATAAAGGATTTTTACATACCTTTCCGATCCAATGAATCTGAAACGCAGAAGAATGACCACAGTGCAACAGAATAATACTGGGGAAGGAAATACGATCAGCAAAAGAAATGGGGTATGTGGAAGAAGATGCGCGGCAAATTGCGCGGCGAAGTTCGCATCGATTTGAAGGACTTTAGCGCCTATCATTGGAGCCCAAATTTGAAGTAGAGCAGATTAGAAAGATCATCTACCCCTACTTAATTACTCTACTTTGAGTTTGTGCCCCAAGAATAGGCTTCAGAGTAGCACAAATCGTTACGAACTTCTCCGCGCAATTTGCCGCGCGCGTCTTCGGACGCATGATATGCATGTCTCCCAAGAAAATTAAATCACCTCTTTGGTTGTGTTATACGCAATTGCAGACGTTGCGGGAGCTCGCCCAAAGGCTGCTTTCATAGTCCGCCGGCCAGCCCGCGAGCGAGCGAGAGCGCGCCGGCCGGGGAAATTCTCGACCTACGGTATCGATCACGGTTCAGTTCATAAACAAGCGGGAAGCGCCGCCCCCGGACGGTGGACCATGAAAGTAGCCGGACACTCCCTCTACGCCTTTTTTGCGCCTTAAACTTGTCCAACCCCCTTTTTCAAGTAGTAGCGTTTTTTCTACCGTCTCTCATTCGTATCCTTTCCGCAAGCGGTTTCCCCTTTAGTAAGCGAGCCTCAAGCTAGTTCTCATCTTTAGTCCAAAACGAATAATCCAGACATGCTTTAGCAGAGCTTGCTGTGCGCAACATCACGAGTGAAGAACGAGTTCATCGGCAGCCACAGGAGGACGGACAAGGGGGACTCAGGCAAAGAGGCCTTTATCCCTCCTGTTCCTCACATCCGTACCTATCACAGCTTCGAACGCGAATCGGTATGTCGGTTAAGACAGAATTGCGCATGATTAAGAGTACTGGGACCTTGGATTAAAGCACATGAACAAATATTAAAAACCGAAAGAAAAGATAAAGCAAGTGTGCGGAATCGTCATTAATATCACACAGACTAAGAGTGACCAAAGCAGGATCGCTCACCCGTCTCCCTTTTCACCTCTACCCTCGGTGAGGTGGTAGGAGAACTTGAATATAAATACAATATTTCAATATAATCAAACTTGCATCGAATAAAAACACATATAAGCCCTGTTAATCGTTGATAAATCGAAATTTAATGGGTAAATAATGTGTTAGCCTTACTCTTGCCATATACAAAGATTTCGACTTCTTTTCAACGATACGAATTTTCCCAACTTGTCTCTGATTCAGAATAGAATTTCACTTAATCCAAGCGGAAACATTCTTATAACATACACTGCATTCTCCTATATCTTTAGCCGACTTATTTGGTCCGAATGAAGCGGTGGTGTTTAGTTCGCGTTGCATGTCTCCTTCGATGTCACTCCATGTAACGTGTGTGCCAAAAAGGCCTCCAGCTTCCGTGTAGAGATTCATGTTTGCTAAACTTTTGGAGATCTGAAATTCCTTTGTGAAGAAAATTGGGTTTTGATATGAACTCAGAGGATCTTTATAGCAGCCGTTTCGAAGGCAAATGGTCACGGTGCCAATGGGGTAAGCCGGATGTTATTCATTTATAGATCTACCACTCGGTTCGCCCTGCTGACGGTGGGCTTCCCTCCTTCTTCGGCAAAGTTGTAGTTATCGGCTAACCCCCTACTCCTTCTTTGGAGCGAATAATATTTTCTTGTACACGAAGTTTGATACAGGACTAACAGGGCATTGCGAATGGTATTTCAGTGTAAGTCAGTGCTTATGTCTTTAAGTGAGAGCTCATCTTTTTCACTCGTTCTTAAAAGTAAATACCCATTAAAGACTCGATTTTTAGGCAATCAAAGCCATGGGCGGTACTCACAAATGTTTCGAGTGATGAGAACACCATTATCAGATTTCATTAGCAATGGACCTTTTTTACGGAGATATCATTGGTGAAAATTCCAGATTATTGGTGGTCTGTTAAGCTTTGTTAAAAATGATATCGACCGAAAAGGATCCTCCATTGAGTTACAAATCTTGTTAGGTAGCGGTTGTAATCAAGAAATGAACAAAATCCTCATCTGCTTATCGTAGTACCGGTAATGGCTACCTACCGCTGTACTTACCACTCACTTTTGTCACCCTACTCTACCATTCCATCTAATCGAATGAAGCACACTGATTAGTCAAAGCTACATTGTAAATACCGAAGGGTCAGGATTTTCATCGGTAGGTGGCTCTCGCTCTCTTAGGCCTCTTATCTTCCTCAGTAGTTGGTAGTTGTCATCGGCTACTGTCACCGAGTGCCTACGATCCCTTCACATCCTACATCACTTGATAGAATCCCCAATTTCATTGTTAAAACGAATAGCTGTAATCCAACCAAGTTTAATTGCTTTATGTCAACGTAAACAGGAATTATGAAGTTGCGGCCCAAAAATTTTTTCGCCATGCCCCCTGTGGATGGAGTCCGGACCTACCACCTACCATAAATCTTCCCATCCTGCCCCCCGCACTCCCACCGAATTTGAACGCTCTAGGTCCTCGGGAACAGCAGTTACGAATTTCCGGTCAAACACACACCGACAAACCAACAGACACACTCAGCGAACTATATACAGTAGGATTTTTTGATTGTCGTGTACCAAAATGCTGTTGCTACGACTAATATGGTTGGAGAGGCGAGAAAATTCACACCATCCGAGATAGCTAGGAAAAGAGATGCACCGCGTATACAAGGAGAAGCGACGTTTCCATCAGCTTTCGTTTCATGCTGCCCTTATATGTAGTAGGAAAAGGAGCTTAGAAAGACTTGATTGATTAAGGGCGATGAAGGGCAGTGCTAATCTGTAAGAGTATTATAATAGTTATTCCGGTGTATAGATGGAGCAGAGGGTCTGCTTGCAAGTGTTGCGGTATCAGGACAGAACTAATAGTTTATCATCATGGAAAATTTTCAGTTGAGCATATTCTAGAGGGTCTGACAGACGAAGGGGCTATCATCTTAACTGCTCGTCACCTTAATGTTCCACCAGAAAAGTGTGCAATGTGGCTCTTCCGTTTTCCATCAAAGTAAAAAAAACCAAAGGTGTGAGCGTAGTCTGAGTATGTAGACGTAACTTTGAAGGATATTCGTTCTATCGAAAGATGCATAGCTGAAGTGGCTGTGGCTCAATGGACAACAGTACTAGTTTGAAGGGAAACTTCTCTTCCCAGTTGGGGGGACGTGCACTACGTGGGTCCGAGGACGTGCGCGGCAAATTGCGTGGCGAATTTGTGACGATTTGAACGAGTCTGACACCCAATTTTCGGGGCACAAACTCTAAGTGGATTCAGTAGGGTCAGATGAACTTTCTAATCTACTCCACTTCGAATTTGGGCCCCTATGATAGGCGCTGAAGTCGTTCAAGTCGTTACGAGCTTCGCCGCGCAATTTGACGCGCGCATCCTCGGACGCAAGTAAGTCCACATAACCTCCCAGTTGTCATGAAAACGTTCACCATTATGCAGAAAGTACGTAGGCAGCGTAACTAATATCGGAGCACTTTTGCACAATCACTGAGTGCCTTCACTATTTTTTTTCTTATCCAACAGACATAATCGGATGATCCCATAGAATCCTGTCTGTCCTATCCATCATGAAAATTAAAGTCGTCGTTCTCAAACTGTGTGACAACGTGGGATAGAAACAGCTCATCAAACACTGACTAGCGCACATATCGGATGATCCCATCGAATCCTGTTTGTACTATCCATCATGAAAATTAAAGTCGTTGTGCTCAAGCTGTGGGATAGAAACAGCTTATCAAACACTGATTAACGCACATATCAGCACATTCCGCAAGTCCTCTATTCTGGTTCTCACATTTCCCGAAACAATAAGACGTTTTCGGATACACAAGAGGAAATCGGGCAGAATGACTTCTTCAAAGGATTCTCCTGAGTTCGAATGATAATTGATTCGAAAAGAAAATGATAACCTGCGGAGGCTGCCGTTTGTTGTTATATGGGCCACACATGCATTTTCACCACAATTCCGTATGGAAATCAATGCGAGGGTTCAGTCTGGTTAACTCTCGAAAGATTCTCTCTTTATTCTTCACTGTTTGTTTCTGAATTACGAAATGCCGCCCACGAACAAGCCAACAAAAAGAAATTGGGACTGCTGAATGAATTTCTCGAAAACCTATTAACGATAAAAATTTGAAAGTAGTGCTGGTTGAAGTGAAGTGTTTGTCTGTCATGGAAGCAAGTGCCACCATGACCTAGCGGCAACAGATTCCCTCCTAAAGTGGCGGGGAAGGAGTGGGTTTTTGATATTTCTCATTAATCTGTTCATGCATTCCATTTTATGCCCCCTAACTAACTATAATGGATGACGATAACAGCCGTTGTGGTTAGACGAGAAGGGTTCTATCATTTTTGAGAAAGGGATAAAGAGGACAATAAGACTCTTCTAACCTAAACCAACCTATGGTGGTATTCAAATCTAGTACCTGCACCCACCGGCCGCCCATGGTCTCTCAACTATATGAAGGAAATTGCCCAGTCTTCGGTGCACAGACAAACTCGTACAGCAGATGAAAGGGTTCTATCATTTTTGAAAAAGGAGTCCAATTCTCTATGGATGGATTAGTGCGTGGTCAACCTCTCAAAAGGACCAGGACTAGTATTAATATTTATGATCGAATACCTGATCCATATGTATGTCTTCGATCGTCAGTTTTAAACTATTGCAGTGGCCAGTTAGCGAGAAAACCACACCAAAGGGAATCAAGTGATGCATAAATAGAACATATTACATTCATCTTACAGTCATTGCTTACAAAATCGAACACTTATAACTTTACCACCATGAACGTTTGCCCGGCACAAGTATCAATACGTATGGTAATAGTGTCGTGCCAATTTGTAGTTATGAGTTGAAACAGAAGGATGAGAGAGAAGGATGAGGGTTTACTGTCGCGATAGCTACATTGGTGGCCCGTCGTTCGCAGGGGATTCCCATGGTGCACACTATTCACTTCATCCATGAACTACAGCAACTTTACAACTCGGATCACACCACCATCAGCGGTAAGGTCACTCTCAGAAGAAACTCGGTATTGTTCACGTTCAGCGGGAGCCCGTTTTCCGTTAGCACTATCTGCCATTTCTGCAGCTTTTCTGCAGACAGTGCTGATGGAGAACGTGTTTTTCTTTGCTTTTCACTATTAGAGGTATGACATTTGCGTGGAGCGTGGTCTTTGATGGTTTTCTATGAGTTTATTTTTCCTATGATTCATAACATCCATGTTAAGCAGGAAAGGACATCGTGCTCAGAGCTGATCCGTGATGCACCATGATCCGTGATGCTTAAAGTGTGAGAGATGCATATGAGCGATTGAATCTATCGTACATTTCCTAGACAAAGGAGGTCAGGTGTTGACTTGTAGCGGAAGGCGGCTCAAGTCTTATTCGAATCGAGGACGGCAAGGTATCACGGTCTACGCTTTTTTTATACTTCTATATTACTTGTCGAGCTATGAAGACAATATCAGTTTTAGACCTTTCTGGCAGGAAGTCGTAGTGCTTAGGTGTGTTCGAGGCCGGTTGCTTCAATTTTAAGTCGACTAGCCATTAGTACAGTTTCATGGTGTTCACCACCCCTACTGCTCGACGGTCCCCACATCCTGTTCAGAATGCGATGGGGCTAGAGCCGTCTGGAAGGCAAACTTTTTCATCTTAAATTTTCGGATTTCCAGTACCAAACGATTCCTATGCTCTTTCCTCACAACTCGGAAGGTCTCAGCCGACCTGTTCCAACTTCTGCAGCAGTTAGGTGTCCTAGAGCCTGAGGATCCGCTAAGCTCTTGTATGCGTATTTTTTGTCCAATTCACGATTCCCTGGAATTCATTTTTCCAACGAGTTGTGAAGAGCCCATGCCTACTCACCTTCCTAACCTTTGTCTTGAGCTTGGCGAACCTCATCTTCCACCAAGAGTGCGGTGAGTCAGTCGTCTGCTCTCTTGAGAAGTTGTTCTAGAGCTTGTCAAATTGCTCTGTCCATCTACCTGACCTCGTCGGCTTTCCTTCTCATGAAGGCCTTGTTTTGAGACCGCCACTATTTGAGACCTATGTCTTCAGAAGCCGAATGTCGGGCTTCGACTAAGCGAAAGACGAACTTCTCGCCCTCTAACGATCTAGCTTTTTATACAAGGCGTTCAGTTCGATGACCTTCAGTCTTGACCTTCTCGTAACTTTTGTGACGACTGAATTATTTGAAGCCCAAGTAACTTGCATGTTTTCAATCGGCCGATACGCGTTATGAGCACATGAAAACTTGTATGCTCCTAATTAGCGTTGCTTTTGTACATTCATTTACATATTCTAATCTTATCTGAATAGGGCGTTGTAAGGGCTGAAAGGTTGTATCGGCTGTCTGCCACACCCAACAGCGGACAAGTTCTAATGGCATTGGG